CAGTGGTTCCTGGGAGAGCGGAACAAGTGAGGTGAGCCCTACAACCGTCCCAGCTTCCTACCTGCAGAGTTTGCAGACTGCAGCACAGAGGGGGACTCCAGGCTGAGCCCAGAGGTCTCAATGTGGAGGCAGAGCCCGGACTCTGGGAGGCCCAGGAGATCCGAGTTCCCAGGGAAGAACACCAGAGAAAACAGGGGCAGGAGAGAGAGCTAAGGTCCGCGGAGGAGTCTTGGGTTCTCACCACATGCAGGGGAGGAAACTACTGAGGCTGAGGAGAGAACCAGCAAAAAGCAGCAATAGAACAGTTTTTTGTTGTTCGGAGCTGACACAGGCTGGGGAAAGCCCATGTTCCCACCAAACGGACTATTACAGAAAACTTTGAAATATCTGAGGTACTAGGTATAAATCTCAGAAAATTACTGTCTCCGATAATGGGCCCAAATTAGTCCTAGGTTAAAGACTGATCTGGACCCACCTAGCAAAGCTTCAAAGCAAGCCTGAAAAGGATCAAATTATTTCCAGGTAATCTAATTGCATTCCAGAACAAAACTGAAAAATGTTTAAAGAAATTTCTTAAAAATTAAAAAACCCAGCATTCAACAACATAAAAGTTTCCAATGTCTGATATCCAATAAAAAAAATCACCACGCGTGCAAAGAAGCAAGAAAATCAGATCTATAATAATTAGAAAAATCAATCAATGACAGGCTCAGAAGTGATACAGATCATAGAATTGATAGACAGGACATAAGACATTTATTATATTTTATATGCTCAAGTGGGTAGGGGAAGGATTGGGCATGACAGACAGAATCATGGAAAGTTTTAGAAAAAAGAAACAAATCAAATTTCTATAAATGAAAAATACAACTTTCGAGAGGAAAACTGCAGTAGAAGGAACTCATATCAGAGTAAGCTCTGCAGAAGAGAAACTCTGGCATAGCAATGGAATATTGGAATGCAGGCCCTCCCCTCCCTGTATCCCGCAATTCTAACTTCTACACGGCACACTTGTTCTCACTCAGGTATTATAATACCGTGGCTCCACAAAGGTTTGATTTCACTCCCTCTCTGAAAGAAAATGGTGAGGGAATCAATTAAATGATAATATATACCTATGTAATATATATATAATGTATTGCACATACACGTTATATACATCTACATGTATACCTAATGTACATCTACATGTATGATGTGCCTATATGTATATATGCTTGCATATGCATAAAACCTTTCTGAGCGATACCCAACTTGCCTCTCAGAAAGAATCTAGGTGTCTGGGGCAGGGAATGAAGGAAATGCTACAAGGTACCTCTTATACCCGTTGTATCCACTGGACTATGTGAATATATTACTTATTCAAAACAGTAAAACATGGAATAAACTGTACATGATGGTCACAGTGGAACAATGGGGGGTGCATTGAATCAGGAAGGAAGTGGGGTTCCTAAGCCACCTGGGTGACTGGATGCCTCGGGTTGTGTCGCTTAGAGCGCGTGTCCAAGGCCCTGCCTGTGGGGGGCCAGGAGGGAGCTAGAGCCCCAGTGATATCCGCACAGTTGTCCCCCCGGGATGCAGCACATCTCAGGCTGGGCTGATGGGTCAGATCCAACCCTACCCTGCAGTTGAGGCGCACATGAGCCATCAGTCCTACATTGCCCAAGTAGCTTCTGGCTTAAGGGGCAAGCACCCCAAGGACGGAAACCATTAGGCAGAAGTTACGGGGACATCGATTTCAGCTCAATGTAAGGAACAGCATTCTAAAGTCAAAACCAAAAGTAAACTGAACGCCCCTGGGAAGCAGTGTGTTTACTGCCTCTGGACGTGAATAAAAACTGAAACTCCACAGGGGTGCCACAGAGGAGGCCCAGCAGCCCCGGGCAGGTGGCACAAGTACCTTTGAGTCCCTCTGTGTAAGAGCAGACAGGCAAGAAGTGGTTTCTTTCTTTTTCTCTGAGTGAACAGCAAGTCAAGACAGATCCTAGAGGCATTCGCACAGAACTCATCTGGTGGCACTCGCTGATGAGACGTCTACAAGAATACACATGGCTTTCTAAATACTGGGAGCAATTCTCCTCCCGATGGACCTTGGAACTTAGGTGGGTGGGTCATCCCTTGCTTTCCTAATATTCTAACAGTTCTGTATTCTCTCAGTTAACTGCATTTGTGTAACACATTTGTAGTGTGTGGGGGTGGGGAGGAGTAATTCTTCAGGATTGTATTTTCTCTGCCTTTGCCTAGAACCAGCACCTGCCAGAGAAAACGACAGTCTAGAATGCCAATTCTGTGTTTAAGGACAGTGTAGCAGAGAGAAGGAATTCTGAGAAATATGTGACCCCCCCCAAAAGATGTTTTTCAACACAAGGAAGCAAGAGGGAGAACAAAGAGCTAGATAAAGGCAAGAAACCTCTTTTGGGGACTAAGCCAAACAAACTTAAATGGTGTCAGGAACAAATCGGTGGAGTAATTCGAATCATGGGCAGGTGCTATGAGTGTAATTTAGTAAAATGCTCGGGAACCTGCCAAAGGAGAGAAAAATGTGTTGCTTTTGAGATCATTTCCCAGCAGCTTCATAAAAGAAAACTGATTACTGGAATTTAATAAGTAAAACAGAGCCAGAAATATAGTAATCAAATGAGTTTTTAATTACATTTCAGACAGGAAAAAAAAATCCAATTTGTGCTCCGAGGATTAAAAAAAAAAAAAAAATAGTTCTTAGAGAAATGCCTTTGTAGCGGGAAAATAACATAAACACTAATTTCCATAGGAATTACAGTAGTCAGTTTAATTAAAAGGCCTGAGCAGAGAGAAGAGAGCCGGTGCCAAGCTATGCTAAATGAAACCGTGGCCCTGGTTGCTACCTCACTCTGCTGGCTAAACAAAAACACTATACGGTGAGCAGGCACAGGCACCTGCATTTTTTTTCATGGACATAGATGGGATTTTCATCGCTGCCTGGGTTATATATGGCTGTTTTATTTTTGTATGGAATAACTAATACATCTGGTTTACTATTAGATGTTGCTTTGGCTCGGTGGTTGGAGCACTGGCCCTCAGACTGAGTGGTCCGAGTTCAATTCTGGGTTGCAGGCTCAATCCCTGGCCCAGGTCAGGGCACATGGGGAAGACAACCAATCAATGTGTTTCTCTCACATCGATGTGTCTCTCTGTCTCTCCCCCTCCCTTCCACTCTCTCTAAAAATCAATGGAGAAAATACACTGAGTGGCCAGATTATTATGATCTTTGAACGCATAATAATCTGGCCACTCAGTGTATATGTTATATAATAATCCTATATAATAAAAGGCTAACATGCAAATTGTCCCCTCTAGCAGGACTTCAACCAGCAGGCAGGCTGGCCAACCGCCCATGTCCCCTCCCCCTGGCCAGGCTGGCCGGTCTCCACCCGTGAACGAATTCATGCTACTGGTCCTCTAACACACACACACACACACACACACACACACACACACACACACAACACTCTGAGAGGCCAGATTATTATGCGTTCAGAGATCATAATAATCTGGTCACTCAGTGTATATCCTCAGTTGAAGATTATCAACAACAAAAAATGAGGGACAGCCAAAACCGGTTTGGCTCAATGGATAGAGCGTCGGCTTGGGGACTAAAGGACCCTGGATTCGATTCTGGTCAAGGGCATGTACCTTGGTTGCGGTCATATCCCCAGTAGGGGATGTGCAAGAGGCAGCTGATCGATGACTCTTTCTCATTGATGTTTCTAGCTCTCTCTCTCCCTTCCTCTCTGTACCAAAATCAATAATATATATATATTTTTTAAAAAATCAGGGACATCGATGTGAAAAAACATCATCTCAGCCAAGCTGGCGTGCTTGTCGCTCGGAGGGATACCAGTTGTTTCCGGGCGTTTCAACCCTCGCCTACTTACTTTACACCCAGTTACATTTTACCTGTGGTCCCATCACTTGCTGGAGAGGAAGGGGGAGGGGATAAACAGGTGGCTGCAGCCAGGCTTAGGGAAGGGAGCTCTTTCTCCTGCGGAGGATTTTGCTCTTGGCCGCCCCCTAGCACCGCTCCAGCTGGGAGAGAGCTTTTCAGGAGGTGCGCTTCCTGGTGGTGTGTTTCCCTGGTAACGCACCGGGCAGACACACCTGCAAGCTGTCTCCACGCCCCTGGGGTTCTCATCTGTGGCCACAGAACCCGGACCCGGACCCGAGGCATAAAGAGGAAACAGGAAGTGTTACCTTTCCATGAGCTAACACCCCACAGCTCCCCGATCCTTGTTCCCCTTTAGGGGTCATCCAAGCCTTGTGAGGCCAAAAGTTTATACCATTGGGGAGTAGAGGACTTAAAAACACACACACATAGTTAAGTAAAGGGGCAATATTTAGAAGGGAGGACCCTAAATCCTGACCTTCATTAGCCTCATGGGTCAATCGCTACATCCTACATTTCCTCTTCCCTCATCTCTCCTACACCCCTTTGTCCTCCCCCAACCCTTTTTCTTTTCCCTCTTGTCTATTTCCATACAAGATCCTTGCTTTAAAAATGAAAACCTCCTCTTGTTTCAAGATTTTGCCTGGCCTCTTATTCAGGTAAGTCCACCTGGAGTCATCTCTGGTGGAGCAAGTTTATTTTTGTAAAAATTTAAGTTCATGGTCTAATGAGATCTGGAGGCCTCCAAGGCAAAGATACACATATTAGTAGACATGTGTGAGCTAGTTTGTTTCCTCTTGCTTGATGTGGATCTAACACAGCATCATAATCTAATTGGCTGGCACCCGGGAGTAGTACTCAGCCACCTGTCTTATTTTTTTTCATTCTCTGCATCGGCTCTATTAGTAGAAAACAGCGGCACTCAATGCATGGGTACTTCTTATAAATAGCTCGTGGTTACCAAATAATCATCCCTTTCATTCCTCACAGCCGGTTTCCATTCTCCCTGGGAAAGCTGGAAAATCATGTCAGTGACTCCAGTTCCTCTCTCTCCCACCTTCTGATTGTTTTGTTTTAGGCCTTGGTGAAGGTCAATGTGAAACTGAAGCCAATGCTGGATTCGGTGTCTGAGAACAGAAGTAAGTGGGAAGAGCTGCACCAGAAGAGGCTGCTGGTCTCAGCTGCCTCCCCCTGCTCCACGGGCCTCGTGGTGGCCGAGGCCAAAAGTAACTAACCCTGGGGTCAGCTGCTGCTGCAGAAGAACTGCATCCTGACAGGCCAGCTTTGCCCAGCCTCTTCATCCTATTCGTCCTTTAAGCTCAGACAGACAGAAAGTTTGGAGGATGAGCTGGGAAGCATGCCTGGGGTTTCACCTTGACGTGTGGCCTCCAGGGAAAGGCGTGATGGGAAGGACAGAGGAGGAGGTGGGGCAGGGAGCACACCCCAGGATCCTGGACTTTCCATGATGAACAGACATGGCTTGGGACTGAGACAGGCGCTGGGCAGGGGACAGCTGTGGATCCAGGCGGCCCTGGCCATTCTGACCCAAGGGAACATGGACCAGTGCGGGCGTCACTAGAGCTGCTTCATTTTGCATATGGCTCTTCTCTTTGCTACAAGGCAACAATGCCTGCCCTTGCATCCTCTCCCCAGTGCCCTTCAGTGCCAGGCTGTCCTAAGAACCCTGATTTGTATTCTGTAGAGGTATTTTATTTTTATCCTAAAGCTTCTTAATGATGGCTCGGAGCCAAGAGACTTGTAAAAGATAAACTATATTATCCTTACAAACACCAACTATTCCCACATTTCCCCTAAAAATAGCTGTAGTAGAAATACATCCAATGTGTTTGTCTGATTGGGGTTTACACAAGATTCATAACACTGCATTGGGATGGTGGTCCTCTTTTTCAGTTTTCTAATTCAATCTTCATTGTAGACCAACTCTACTCCCAGAAGGAATAGATTAATAGATTAATTAAAGTAAGGGTGAAAGAAAATCTATAATTGGATTTACCACAAGTGGCATATGAACATTTAGAAACTATTTCCAGCAGCCAGACGTTGCAGCAGGGCACAGCAGCTCCATGGACAAAGATCATTGACTACCTTGAGTTCTCCTAGTAATGGCGTTTGTATAAAACTGAAAGTCACTATCACTACCAACCTACAGGCAAATGCAGGAGTCTCCAATTTTGGATTTTTCCTTAAGTATTAGAAATAATGTCTGGCAGGTGAACAAATAATGGTGTAGGCAGAGACCACATATTCTATGGAAAGCCAGGTTTACAATGGGTGAGAATAAACTATATGAAATAAATGCAATGACCAGAAAGCCACTTTGCCTTTCACCTGAGATTGAGGTCACGCTATGCCTTATCCAAAGAATGGGAAGTGAGAAGCTAGCTTTGGCATCGTGACTGGATGACTTTGGACACTTCACCTAACCTCTCTACGTCAGTCTGTTTCCTCATTTGTCAAGTGAGACTACACTTAGGAAATGGTTTTCAAACACGCTTTAACCTTGTAACTCTTTGTTCAAATAAATCTCACGTGGCATCTCCGAGATATAAAACATTCTCCGTGAGCCCTCCGCTTGAAGCCAGTTGGGGGATCCAGAGCCCCAGCACACCCGCAGGTCTTCGATCACGTACATGGTGCTCCATAAAGGGGCTCCGAGGAGCTGGAAACCCCTGGATCAGATGACCCTTGAAGTTCACTCCAGCTCTGAAAAATCTAAAATTTATAAACCATGTTTTGTTCTTATTGCCCCTGGCCAGTATCAGTTATTAACTTCATTACTCAAATGCTAAGGAAACAGGGACCGAGATCCACAAAGAACATTGTTTTCCTGGCATGGAGCAGGCATTCAGGACATGTGTTCTTTAAAAAAAAAAAAAATATATATATATATATATATATATATATATATATATATATATATATATGTAAATTAAGGTACCAAGCAGAAGTGAGGGAAGAGCAGATACACATAGGGAAGAAGTAAGATGCCAGGTGGCAAGAAACAAAGTACAATTATAAACCAGGCAAAGAGGGGTAAAAGAAGAAGAGGAAGAGGAAAGGGGGCAACAGGGAAGAGAAGCCACTGAGGCAGGTGGTCGGAAAACTGCCCAAAGGGAAGGTGAAAGTCATTCCACACAGACAAAGCACTTGTAACCGAATCACCTGGGCGTGCACAATCCTGTCATCAATTGCTTAGGAAAGAGAGATACTTGAGCAGAGGCGGGTTTGACAAAGAGAGAAGGAAGGAGTGGGAGTCCTAAAATATAATGTTCCTAGCTGCCCTTTACAGCTGCCTCTGCAGGGAAGACTAGAGGGACGAGCGGAGAAAATGAGTGCAGGAAAAATTGCCTCCGCAGAGCAGGTAAGAGGAGGCTGTTCAGATTTATGGATTTTATTAAGCCAGTTTTCGGAATCACTCTGCTATAAAGGAAATAGCTTCTGCCGGGCTGTCTCTCCTCAGGTGAGGAACAAAGGGTGGGTGGAGTTAGGGCTCAGAAGCACTGCAGGTGTTGCTGGCTATTGTGCCAGATCAGGTTTATGTCACAAGCGGGAATTGAAAAACAGACCTGGTGAGGCAGAGACGAACCCACATCTGTTATCCTCCCCAACAATATAAGCAGCCCAGACAGACAGATGCCAGTCTATCTCTAGCAACATTTGAAAGCATGTGCCTGGTGATAAAACTAGACCCAGGGCCCGTGGAGACTGCAGGCAGCTACAAGCACCATAGCGATCCTGAACACGGATGCTGCGTATTGCTAAGGGGAACATAATTTATAGCGCAGACCCTCCGGCTTCCACTAAGGTTGAGTTTTCCCTTCATTTCCTTGCCTTTTTATTGGCTTCACTGCACGGTTGCCAATAGCAACGTCCACTGGTGGCAAGGGGAGTTCAACATCATTGCAATTTGCCATACAGTGGAGCCCTGACAATGTCAACCATCAATCAAGCAGCTGTTTGTAATTGCCTCCATCTATTTTTCCTGTCTGGAAGTATCTTTCCTATTGTGGGTCAGAATTCAGAAACTGCTGACTAATGCCTTGGCCTGTTCCTCCTCGACCCAGGCAGTGGGAAAGGAGGGTAGCCACAACCCAGGGGGTTACAGATTGAACTCTTGGGAGTGTAAGGGTTTTAAACGCCTTTTTAAAATAATCTATAATTTTCCAAGAATGCGAAGTCTGTGTAGTTATCCATATATTCTGCTTTTCCAAAAGAGAGAACGCGAAATTCCCCAATCCTTATTATTAGGTTTATTTCCTAGTGGAGGAAGGCATTTAAAATGTAAGCCTTCTTAGAAAACCTCCACCTGACCAGATTATGTTTGCCTCTTCGAGTCGCTTGCATTCATGTTTGAAATTACTTCATCCTACTTTCTCCACAAGATGCATTTGTTTCAGAGATGCTTTTTATTCTCTTATCAGTCGGTGTGGAGATAACACGTGCACATCCTCCTCTGTAGCTGGCAAGCTGGCCAGTAGGGTCAGCTTGGCAAACTGTAAAGGCCGCCATCCTGCCCTGGCTATGGGCTGGACCTGTTATCTTGGGACTCTCCAGCCTCAGGTTTTCTGTTGGTAAAATAAGAGCACTGACTTCGTTTCCACACCAAAGGACCAGCCGTATTTAACTTTCAAAAAATGTCTTCGGATAGCTGTCTTGTTTTCTGTTCTCGAATAAAATAGGCATAAACCTAAAAAGGTCATCTCGTTAAAGACAAAATGAAAAGTTACATATATGGGGTAGATTTAAAAATAACCTCACCACAGATTTGTCTGAGCCTGCCTCCAGGGATCATGAAAGATTATCATCAGTACAATTTTTAAAAAATATATTCTTTTATCACATACAGGACAGTTTTAGATGATTTCATATCATAGATATCCCATAAATGGTAGTCAATTTAATTTAAAAGTAAACTTATAAAGCGAGTTAAGAAATTAAAATTAAAATTGCATGTGTTTTCTGTTTCTAAAATCTGAGATGTCAATAAAATAAAATAAAATAAAATAATAAAATCTGAAATGTCTACCATTTCCAAGTATTTTATACTTACATATACATTAGGTTAGAAATAACCACACAATCCTGTGGTAAAGGCCTGAGGTGGAGGGCGGGGGGCGTGAAGGACAGAGGGAAGGGGTTAATGGGTGGGGGAAGGGGCATCTGTAATACTTTCAACAATAAAGATAAATAAAAAAAGAAATAACCTTTAAATTTTTGTTAGTGTAATAACAATATTATGGGTAAGTAGTTCAGTTGCTGATTTCATGTATCATATTTCTTCATACTTTTCCCACTTGCCTTAGGTCATTAAACAGAGTCTGCTTAATTTACTCTGCAGTACAATTATTTTAAAATCAATTTATCCTGCTGACTCTTCTTGAATAGCAGAACATAAGGTAACAGTTTTATCTCCAGTAGTAGTTCCCTTCAAGTGGGACTGAAATCTAAACAGATTTAAATATTTTAAAAAGTGTCTTAATTGGAAACACACACACACACACACACACACACACACACACACAGAAAGGATTCATTAAAGCAACAGAAGAAAACCTGATTTGGGAACCTAAGAACTCTGGCAGAGTCACTGTAGTGAAGTTCCATTGCCTGTTGTTCTGCCGTGTGCTGTGAGGAACCCCCAAAACTCAAATGTACCAGGAAATTTAAAGACTGAGTCTGGCTACAAGAAGGCCAAATTTTCCTAAGTTTCCTAAGTGAACAATAATAGGATAAAACACATCGCTGGCAGAAATAAAATGCAGTGTGTCTGGAGAATTTCATGATGAGCACCTGGATTTAGTAATGATTGATGTCCTCCTTACATTGTTTACTTTTACCTCCGCGAGTAACCTGGGGTTGTACGTCTTTCTAATTTAATTTGGAATGTTGTTGCATATTTGGTTCACTTCTCAACAGTGCTAAAGATGTGTATCTGTGTATTAAATCTATAACAATGTTGTTGAATGTATACACTCCTACAGAAATGTTTGTTTTATTAAGTAAATTATTTGCTGTGAAAAAAAATGTTATTTGAGGCCATCATTTATATTTGTGTTTATTTTCTGTGTGCATATGTGTCTGTTACAATATCATTTTTTTCTTCAGATTTAGATTAAATCATACTGAGATGAATTTTTTTTTTTTAAAGATGAAGAAAAGAGAAAGAAAAGGAGGGAGGGAGGAATGGAGGGAGGGAGAAGGGAAGGAAGGAAGGAAAAAGGAAAGAAGAGCATGTTGGTGTGGAAATAGACTAGTTTTGTTGGGCCTCATTCCCTTAGGGAAAAATTGCTTTTGCCATTTTATTTTTATGTACAATAATCTAAAAAGGATCTCCTCCTGATTTGCTTCCTAATTATTGCTTTACACAAAAGGAGGGAAATATGTTTTCAATTGAGTTGTCTGAAGTCACTCCCTTTGTGTAGATTTCCCAGGCTGATGTTTCATTGTAAGAATCCAACATTATAGATGTCTTGACTATTTCACAAGCAAAATCATAATCCATGATTTTGAAATAATCTGCTTTAAGAGACCTAAATATCTTTGTTTTTAATAAAATGCTTACGGTTTAACTAAGCTTCAGAATACTCTTTCTCTTCATGGGGCGGGGATATAAGGACAGAAAGAGGCAAGCATGCATCTGAATACCAACAATTGAAATTGTGACGATCACTTTTAGCTCATTAACCTTGCCTGGACCTGTGATGTTTGCCTGTGTGAGAAGGATGCTGGAACAGCCCTCTCCTTGGAACATTTTAAAGATAACAAAATAATTCGAATTATTCAAGTTTTCCTGGAGGGAGAAGAGTCTGCAGCCCAATGCAGGTTCCAGCGTCCTCACAGATTGCTCAAATTTGCATGGGCAATTACACAGGGGAATTGCATCAATTCAGGGCTGTCAGCCACACTGATGCCATACAATTACACAATGGCTTCGGTGCTTAAACTTTAAAATTCTTACAGCGTTGTGCCTGTTCTATTAGAACAAACTGCAGCAAATGACCCAAAGCCAATTCAAATGACTGAAGAGGAGGTACCCAGGGGGTGGGGGGGAGTGTGGGGGGTGGGGGGGAGAAGGAAGAGGTGTAGTGTGGCCCCTACTGGCCAGCTTAAGCAATTACCAGTTCTCCCGTGCTGGCTGCAGCAACCACTAGCATCTTAATCCATGCTTTTCAAGTGTGGCCAACAATAAGAATCACCAAATTCACAGAAGAGCTGTAAAGATTATGAGGGAAGTTAGGCGAAGCAGACCTGGTCTTGGTACAAAAAGTACCCTTTATGAACACAGGGGCTAGAGAAGGTCTTTGTTTGGGTAGGTGGTTGATTATTTCTAAATGCCAGCTGTGCCTTCTCTAATTCCTTTTATAAATCAGTTGCTGCTATGATTTCCGATAAATTCATTTAGATCATAACACTGTAAGTCCCCAAATATAAACTACTTGATTAAAAAAAAGCTATATTCAAAAAGAAAATCAAATTTAAAAAAATAATAGAACTGGAATTACCAGGAAAGATGAGGTTAAATGTCTCACCATCTGAATGTAAATGTTCCTAGGCATTGATTTGGAATACAATAAAATTCTTAAAAAATTAAACAGATACTCCTAAAAGTCAGTCAACTAACTGGCACTAATTTATTATTACCAACTTGGCACTAATTTATTATTTTCTTCTCTGTTATGGTGAAAGATAGGGGAGGGAGGAAACAAGATAACTGAGTCCCCCAAACTGACCATATTGTAGAAAATGGCCTGGAAATAAAGGGGGAAAGACATAACAACTGGAAAATGGTTCTGCAGGTCTTCCTTTATGAAGGAAGATGTCTGACCACAGCTATGGTTGTGGAAATGTTCATAAATTAACAAT